TATATATATACATATACCACATCAACTGGGGTGTATATATCGCAACAGTGGGCCCCACAAATTTTACTACTCTCAATGTATTGCGGTGGGCTCACTTGACATGTGGCGCCTCATCATTGGACTCTGGATTGCGTTTGTAGTGAGGATGTAAAATTTGCTCACCTTTTAGAGTTATCTCATTTCTCTCTCACATTACCCTAAATATTGTTGGCCTTCTGGTGGTTACACAATTATCGCATGAATCTGACCAAAACATATATAATACTCAAATACATTGCAAGAAGCTCACCATCTTCCTCTTCAAAAATATCGGGAAAACATAAAGGAGAAATTACAAACCAACAATTTATCTCTACCAAATGCAACGGAAAGGTAAGAAAAATCACCTCGATTATCTGCAAAATTGGAGTGATAGTGCAGCCTGGTCGCCTCAAGCATCTTAGAAACCTCATTAGCACTTTCAAAAGCCTTGAGGAAATGTTCATCCAGCTCCATTAAAATCTGCAAGAAGTTACCAGGAACCGTCTTCCCCCGCCTGCTCTCCGATCCCCCGCCTGCAGACCCTGTCCGATGATGGTGTGATGAACCGCCGCTCGGCCTCTGCTTCCTCGCTGTCCTTTGCTGTTGGATCGGCGCTGGCTCGGCAACACCCTTTTCCGGGATCACCATGGCCGGTACTGGAGGCGTAGGATCCTTAACAGCAGCAGCGGGAGTAGATTCAGCCTTGGCGAATTTCTCCGCTTCCTTATCAAGCGTCGATTCCTCCGGCTGCCCGAGGGATGGACCGGGGATATGATCAGTATTGAACAGGTGGTTGAGTATATCCCAGTTCCCAACCGTGGGCTGGTGCGGCGGTGGCGCCGGTTTGGTTTCCGATGGTTTAGGTGGTGCAGGAGGTGCCGGAGGTGTCGCGGGAGCTGCAGAGCTGTCATCAGCACCATCCATCTCAGAGTCATCCACAGTCCCCTCCGGATCGTCTTCTTCATTTATCGCCGAGTCATGTGCAAACTTTTTTCGTCGAACCTTGGAAATCGGAAGACCAGGCATACTGGCCGCGCGCTGGAGAGGTGCGACTGATGGGAGATGGCCGGGTGGAGGAGGCGGAGGAAGGAAATTGTCACGCGGGGGCTGTACGACGGATGTAGCGTTGCCAATAGAAGCGGCAGCTGAGGAAGAAACAATAGAGATTTGGCCGGCAGGGGCCGAAGAGGAAGAGGGGAGGGTGTTGGAAGCGGCACGGAATTCATGGAGCTCGCCCTGCGCGTATTCCGAAAGCGCGGCGCCGGTGTTCTTGAGGGCCATGGTGTAAGCGGATTGAGCGGCGGCCATGGCGTTGCGGGAGTTGACTGCGGACTTCATTAATTGCTTCCGTTCCTTGCATCGCGCCACCAGTTCTTCGTTCTCGATCTTCGATTGCGTGCAGCCCATCGCGATGAGGATCGGAGATGAAGAAGAAGAAGAAGAAGCTTTACCGCGATTCCAATCGAGCTCGTCGGAGACTCCAGAACGGTCGTTTATATTCCGACGATATAAGAAATCCGCCTCCGCCTTTAAGCGTTCCAAGTCTACACGTTCCCAATTGCCTTTTTTCCTTTTTAGTCCTTTCTTTTTCCCTTATTACATCGGAAAGCTATTTTTCCACTTTGAATAATCTCACATTCATTGCAACATGAAGAGGTGAGGGTATATTCTTTGTTATTTATATGTAAAAAATAGGAGTATACTTTTTTTTGAAAAAAAAATAGGAGGCTATTATAAGAGTCTGCAGCCAATTTCAATATGTCTAACAATATGAATATCACCTCCGTGAGACCAATTGTGTCTTAGGGGATTTGAACTCCTGACCTGAGAGATCTTATATCATGGATGTCAACCAACATGTCGAGTTACGCAACAGGTAACTTCATTTAATTAAAATAGAATATTACATATTATTATACCTGAAACCTAGGTAAGTATTATCAATTTTTTATGTATTGATGCATCAATTACCCAAACTTCATTTTTTTTACATATAGGTCATCCCATTCCTATGTTTTTAGCAATGATTAGGTGGTATGGGCATAAAAAATAAAATTTGGGTTTTCAATATGTTTATATATA